CCCCCCCCCCCCCCCCCCCCCCCCCACCCCCACCCCAACCCATTCACTAGTTGCATGTGGAGTAAGCACCACCCGTTGCTAGGAAGCAGGTAAGTGCGCAAGTGACCTAAATTTTTGATGCCAAGTGCGCAAGTGACCCAAAGTGCGCAAGTGACCGAAATTCCCAGTGCGCAAGTGACTGCCCGGCCTGACAGGTGGATTATGTTTCCGAGCCTTTTGGTTTAAACATGGAAGACACAATATACGATATCGTGTCGTTGGAAGAGTGGAGGGACCCTCTCCGTTGTCTTATTTGTTCTTACCAAGATTTACCAAGGAAATACCAGGTCGTGAGTTGCACTCACATTCTTTTCTGTATTCACTTTGGCTCCGGCCTCAGCCGACTGGACAGACTGGACGCATCTAAGGCAAGGGTTTGGAACATTTCGGACGGTCAATGCCACGTGGTTCTACGCGGTCACAAAGCAGCTCTCCATTCAGCCGTTTTCTCCGCTGGATGATGTGGAGGTCCCTCTTAGAGACGAGATGAGCGCCGGCTTTGCAGACATCATCAACTTACTGAGCTCCTCTTTTTCCCATCCTGCTCAAAGGTCACATGGAAGTACATATCGAGTACAACTGAAGGAGAATGAATAGATCATGATAGATCTCATCCTTCAGGAGCAAAGCAGCTCAAACCCAAAGATTAGGGTGGACGGCAGAGGAGCTATTAGGACATGCAACATACTTGATCATGCAGTGACAAGAAACTGTATGATGTTATATGATGTTATCGTGCCTTCGCCTTGGTACTATCTCCTTTTTTAACATTTTTAACTCAGGAACAGCGCTGTTGGAACTGCTGAGGTCAAACATAATCAGGGTTTTGTCTCAAAATGAGAATTCGGATTAGATCACGTGAACATGTTATGATATGTCCATGGTGCTTTCTGAGCTGTGTTTCCTATCTCGAAGATGTGCAGAGTCCCTAACCAATGAGTGTTAGGTCCGGACCTGCCAGTTTTCAGGTCTAGGCGGACGCTCGAGCACTGCACTGTGAGGCCGAACGGTGCCGAAGGTGCCCGAAAGCTCCCATGTCTGGGATCTGAGCGATCCACGAGGATCTGAGCCAGGATCGAACGACGAAATGGTTTGGTTTTCAGAAGCGGAGCTGCAGAGTCCACGACTGTTGGGATTGGTGTTTCTAACGGGCAGATGCCCCATACGCAAGGTTTTTTGATAGGATACGTATTGAAAAGAGCCGATAAAATGCTTGAATGCCCGCCAAAGACAGCGCCTTGTGAAAGAAGTTGCCGTCGTGCCGCCCACGTGGAGGTAAGTGGGGAAGGTCCTGTGAAGTTGAGATTCTATCAGATCTATCAGTGTGAGAAAGCAGCATCGGTATGTGAGGTGCAGTTCAGCCAAGCATATTCGGCCTGCTCCTCAGCATGAACTGAGCTTCCAGCATTTTGTGCTTTTGCAAGAGTCAAAGCTGGAATGATGTCTGAGGCAAACTGCAGGACCTCCGGTCCGGTCCATTCACTTTTGAGGCTATCAAAGGCTAAACATTGTTATTTCCCGGGCGGCCTTGCTGGATGTTTGTTGGACCAGCAGACCCCTCTCAGGCTATGCCCTACTTTGAACGACCCAACGACTGCGAGATGGCACTCCTCTCCCAGGCTGCGGGGGATCAGTGAGGATGAACATGGATGAACTATCACTCCAAGAGACTGGACAGAATGATGAGTACACGGTCGGCAATGACTGGAGACACGACCGACCTTGATGCGACTGATACCTGATGGTAGAAAAACACTCCATGTTGTTCAAGTTGTACCCAGACATTTCAGACGAAGTGTCACTGAAATGCAACATAGGTGCCGCGCCGAAGTCTGGCAGCCGGGGAGGCGCTTCGAATACATCATTGATCTGGGCCGCAGACCAGATTTTGCAGACAGCAGGGTTCTTCATGTATTGGCCCACAACTACGGTACCATCCAAACCCACAGGCAAAAGGACAAAATTATAGACTATAATGTGCAGGGCAGGGATTTGTGGGTCTTACTGTGTGAGGCAGATCCACGTATTGTTTGGAAAGTGCCATGGATGGATCGTAACACCAAACCTGCATGTCCTGTGCAGATCCTCTTCCCCTCCTTTGCAGCTTTGGTGCAAGACGTCAACAAGGGTGCTCAGCCGGCAGTGATTTGATGACAGTGATGCGTTTGGTACACTATTGGTTTAAATGTGAAAAGATACTGAGATCGTATGGACCATAGTTTGTCAAATTCTGTTGTCTTGAAAAGCCTCGAGTGGGAGTGGCAGTCTTTCTTTTGTGTCCTGTCTGGAAGGATCTGTTCGCTATTTAATTGCAACCAGTGCTAAGGAGCAATCGGAAATACCAAATGAACATAACCTAGGACTAGGACCCAGGGTTTCTTTATAGATCGATGTTTCTTGATTTCCCATCTGCCAGGTGAGGGTTGTTGGACTTTATCAGAGCTGTCCCGGTCATCCTCCCCTCCTCCTCTGCCTCCTCCTCGTCCTCCTCCTCCTCCTCGTCCTCCTCCTCCTCCGCGTCCTCCTCAACCGCGAGCGCTAGATCGCGAATGCCAGAAAGAGTGTCAGCAATCATGTCAGCTATGGAACGCCAGAATATATTCTCGATTCGATAGAATGCCAGAATATATATATATATATGCTATATATATATATTGTCAGAAACTATGCCAGAAAGAATGTCAGAATCAGTGCCAAGAGGGTGTCAGAATGATTGCCAGAAAGAATGTCAGCAAATATGCCAGATAGAGTGCCAGAATGCCAGATAGAATGCAAGAATACATTCCAGATAAACCCAGTATAATATATATATATATACCATATAGGAAGCAAGAATGTATGCCAGATAGAATGCCACAATATATTATATACCACATAGAATGCCATAATGTATGCCAGATAGAATGCCATAGTTTTTGACAGTGTTTATGTCTGTATAATATATACACACACTTTCTTGGTGACGTTGAAACAATATACACGCATATACCGAATCGGTGATCAGTAGAGTAGAGTATAATGCCATGGTGGGGATCACTCGAAGTAAAGTCACGTTTGCGGCAAACATCTGAAGAATACCGATGAATGAAAGCCACTATGTGAGCAAACATAGAACATTTGTATGCATCCTTACATTTTATACTTCAGGCAGACAACAGTTTATGCTTGTTAACCATGTTCAAAAAACACTGTAGGGTCAGCTGCGGATCGAATTACAAAGTCCAATTATTGTCGTGGCAGGTGTGGGACCGTCAATTATCGCGTTTTTATGTTTGTTTTTTTTTTTTGTTTTTAAATATATTCTTATTAATAGCAGGCTTCCCGGTGTGAAAAACGACTGCCCACACGGCCCCAGGTTTTCTGAATGTAGGATTGTACGGGGTAAGGGTTGACATGAGTTTGTGCTTCAAGAAGCGCAACTTTTGTACAGGTGGCCACTTCATCGATCTGGGCAGCGGCACAGGTCGCGCCGTTGTGGCCTGGGCCTTGCTGAGGCAAGCCTCAAATGTCCGACGATGGTCCCCTCCCACTTAACGCGAGTTCAGCCTCTTCTCACGCAGGTGTTGAGACCCATGTGCACGTCCCTTGTGTGATTGAATTCAGCCGATAACCACCCCAAATGAAACTACTGTGTGCACTGTTGGGGTCGCCCGATCACCCTTTTTCTTGGTGACAGGTATCCCCACATATGGTAAGTTGAAATCATCCCATCACTATACATGATTTCACGAAACATGGAGAAGTATCTATGTACAGGAACTCTAGCTCCTAGGCTTCACATATATTGTTTTGACGATATTCACAGATTCAATTTAGGTAGATGCACACTCCAATGATACATGTGTCATTCACTGGCTAGGCCTGAAGGCCGAGCAAGTGGGGTGGAGATCCGAGAAGCTTTGCACCTGCAAGCACTAGAGGCACCGATGGTGTGGAAGGAGCTGGTTTGTTGACGGTCTGTGCGATATTTCAATGAATAACAAGAAGCTATTAGAATTAAATTAAATGTAAAATAAAATTAATAGCTTCTTGTTACTACTAGTAAGGCACCTGTTACTACTAGCGTGGCACTTGTTCCTAGTAGCATATTGTGCGATTGACAGTCACAGAAACATGCCAAGCTTGGTGTGTTTGGGCAGGTGGGTGAACGTGCACGACAATGCTTTTTGATTGATTCAAGTTCTGAAGCAGGAAATGGTCTGGGGCATTTGATGTGTTTTTTAATGTTTTTTTGTTTGGTGCAGATCTCCGGAAACTAGGTGTCGCTTGGTCCTGATATGTCCTGATCCAGGTCCGATTTACCAAGAATAAGGACACTCCAGACCTGGATGTCTCACGTACAGTAAATCCGGCAACTGCCAGTTCATTTTGTTTGCAGCCCGAGCCAGATGTGTTTAAGTCTGTTGAGGTGACGGTTTGGATCGGTTTGAAACACATTACTTGACGGACATGTTTAGAACTCGGGCGCACGTTTTGAATTGGACATGGACATGGCAACGACGTCGGAGCCCGAGTCACTGGGAAATCATGCAAACACTGAATCTCTGAAGAAACCAAAATCATTGCTTCTCGCAGATTCCGCCATCACAAAGTCAACGACCTCCCGTTTGCCAGGTGTCACAGCGACTGACATTAGACGTGCAGAGGCTGCTTATCTCCTCTCCTCTTCACTCCCGATGGCTCGCAAGTTTCTTTCCGGGTGAGTGGATAGTGAGGGGACAGGCGCAGGAGATGGAGGAAGATGGAGGAACTGTTTGAATGAGGCAACCTGCTGGATGGCCAAAGGTGTTGATTGTGCCGGAACAAGCCCTACATCAACTTCTTTTGACTCACTGTGTTTGTGTCACTCCCTCTACAGTGACCCCAAAATACATAGATATAAAGAAGCAGTGGTTCAGTGGTTCCCTTTCAACATATCACCTGAGAAATCGATGTCCGATCGATCTTTATCACCAACACTCAGACCCACACAATTTCTTTCAAGCTGAAACCAGGCGGGTGCACCTCCATTGTGGTGACCTCTTCCACTTCGGCTTGGAAGGCTAGCATGCCGATGTACAGTAATTTGACCGTTTTTTCTGGGAAACAGGAGGCACAAGCGGTCTGTGAAGCGACCATGTCTTGGGAGAGGTCTTGTGTGAAACACGTCAGGTCTAGTTTCTCAGTCCGTGGTCTTGTTGATTGTTGTATCGGCCTTTTCCCCGCATGCCTTGGATGACTTTTAGGTACCAATCCAGTCCCCCAACCTGACTAGATGGCTCAGATGCTGACATCATCTTGGTGAATAGCACTGGCTTCGACGACTCCTTGATGGGGCAGATCAGCAGGCTGGTTGGATTCAATGCGAGAAGTTGGGAAGGCTGTAGTTGATGGGCCGGAGGTCACTGGACTTTCTTTTTGAATGTGGACATGATTATTTCAAGTTAGTTTTTCGTGGGAGCTTTGGTCAAGGAGTCTTGCACAAACCCTCCCGCATGTTCACTAGTAAGCTTCCGTTTCTGTTTTTTTTGTGCTGGATCTATCCGTTTATTGTAGTTGCCAACACCACACAACAAACGCTGTTGTTGCCTGCTGCTGCTGAGCAGCTACTCCTCCTCCTCCTCTACCACTACCACTACCACTACCACTACCACTACCACTACCACTACCACTACCACTACCACTACGACGACTACTACTACTACTACCACCACCTCTGCTACCCACTACGTACTAGTACTTACTATGTACTACTTGCTACCTACTACCTACCACATACTACTGTACTGTGTAACTACTAACTACTGCCATACAACTACTACCAATTAACTACCGCAACAACAACAACAGCTACTACTTCTTCTACTAGTTCTACCACCTGGGACCTACGACGACGAGTAGTCCGCTTGGTCGAGCAAAAAACCACATGCTCTCAAGACGCTGGACTGTGGAGAAGGGTGGCTGTGAGATGAAGTCCCTGGCTGAACAGCATGCACTCGACTTAGGCAGTGAGAAACTGTAAGACATGCACAATCTGCAGGTATTTCCAGGCCCAAAGTTAGTTGAGACGGGCGAATTTCGCTGGTCATTGCCCTGCCTAGAAGCAGTTGGAAAGGAGCCTCAGCAGCAAGGGCTTCTTGCTTCATTGGTCTTGTTAAGGGCTCATGATGGCTCATGGCTCGATTGCTGCGCATATTGAGAGGCTGCTTGCAGTTCCCTTGCATTTGCAGAATCGTGCTTTGACTAGACACCAAGCAGATCCGACTCTCAGATGTGTGGGCGTTGCAAGTCGAAGCCAACACCCGTGAGATCCTCGTTGATTGCCGAAGGCCATGCACAAGTACCGGCTGCTTTCGAAGAAAGGCGAAGGCACCTTTTCAGAGGTGCTGAAAGCACAGTCCATCAAGCACCTTGAATGCATCTTCATTCAGATGCACATGCATGCCCAGCGTTTTTGGGCGTGATGTTGGGAACCCATGATGTCAACATGGTCCCCGGTTTAGGGCTGAGGTGAGGAGAAATTGGAGACCTGCTGCTGTTCCTTTGGTTGCCCGAACTTCCGAAGAACTGCACAAACATATACAAACATGCTGACATGGTCAGTGGTTGGATCTTCAGGTCTGGTAAACATGTGGCTATCAAGTGCATGAAGAACACCTTCGACAGCATCGACCAGGTGAATAACTTAAGAGAGATCCAGGCCGGTTCTTGTCAGCCCAGCAAGGGCCCCGGGGATCTTCGGGGGATCTTTGGGGGTCCTGTGCAGTGGAAAAGTAGATCAGCTTTGCCTGCAGTTTTACATGAGTGTAGGTGTAGGTGACACCAATTTGACCTTCCTATCTTGACTTAATTGGAGAAGTTCGCAGGTTGGTCGCCTGAAATTACATTTCAAGGTGTTCGCTTTCGTTCAGGTCAGCGTACAGCAACGAGAGCCCGCCCGTTTGTTTCGTGGTGCTTAGTCAGTAGGCCAGTTTGTAAGACTACCCAAATCGTTGGATTGCCATGTTAAGTGCTTGAGCCTCGTTACGAACGGTTCCTGTGCTTCGAAGAGAGTGCCATAGAAGTAATGTTGAGACGTCCTCGCAATCAACATCTCACTCGGACGAAACTTCCATCCGCAATGACTCCATCCACACACCAAGACTTTGACTCCCTGCTATACTTTCACTGCAACACTCGCTTCTGTTTCTTGCATTCTGCTACCCCACTAATGGATCATTGAGGTCTCATGTTTGAGCTGTCGACAGTACTGCTATTGCATATCATTTAGGCCGGTGACCAGTCCGATCATGAATCATGACACCGCTTTTAGCTCAAATCCGGCAGTTGTTCAAAAGGGTCTTTAAAGTTTTGTGAAAAGTTCCAACTGGTGGACTGTGCGAAACAACCCAATTGGCCCCTTGCGCTACTGGGCCCGAGTGGCCTTGCTTTGGAGGCTTTGCGGCGGCTTGCTGGCCACCCGAACATCATTAAGCTTCATGAGACTTGGCAACATGAGGCAGCAACATTGCAATAGTTGCTTGGGGTGGTGTGACAGAAGTCACTATTTACTGTGGTGTGTGGAAACCTGAAGCCAAGCATGTTCTCAGCCAGGAATCATGCCCACCGCCTGGAAATGCTTGGTCACTGGAAGCTAAGGAGATTCTCTATGACGAGCCTACTGGCCGACTGGCGTTGGTTTTTGAACTGATGGACATGATGCTTGGAGCACTTCAGATGATTTCTCCAGCTGCAAAAGGTCCGCTTTTGCTGTTGTGGTGGCTCCCAAACCATTTCGGGGTGTGCTAGCATGGTGCGAGTCATCAGAGGTCATGTTCATCAAACCAGAAGTCCAAAGCATGCCCATTGCACACGTTGTGATGTGTTCTTTTTGTCTTTTCTCCGGCACCAATGAACCTCATCTTGTGATGTCTTGACCGATTTGCATCTCGTGCATTCAGGAATGTCTATGAAGCCATCAAGGGAAGAAGGCATTATTTGCCAGAGGCCAAGACAAAGCACTACATGTTTGACTCTTGGGCCAACTCAACAGTTCAGCAAGTCTTTGCTGTAGTTCCTTTGCAGGCAGTCGATGAGTGAGTGCTTCAAAGCCGTTCTGTTGGAACCTGTTGACATCTCCAGATATATATCTCCCGAACACCTTCAACTCAGATATACCGTGCTAGCCGCTAGAAGGGGTCCTTGAGCCGAACGCTGAGTTGCTTGATTTGGATTCAGTTAAATAAGTCTGATGTCATGTCACTGAAACTGTTGTTTTGCGTTAATCATGAATTGGAGGGTGGGCAGGCGGGCAGGCCTTAGCAGCCCTACCTCCCTCACCCCATGTGACCATTCTTTCGAGACTCCACGAGATCCAAGGAGATCCTGAAAGGTTTGGATCACATGCATCGCAATGGCATTTTTCATAGAGACGTGAAGCCCGAGAATCTCTTGCTTCTCGATGACGAGGAGCCCACCAGAAGGGGGGGTTTGGAGACATTGGACGCACTTCTGAAGTCGATGAAGAGTCCCACCACTCTTTGGGGGTTCGTGGCTTTTTGGCATGGCTTTGGTCAGCATGTGGGTTCATCCTTACAGCATCCTTGTGTCTTGTGTCACCAGAACCTGTCCCTGTCACCATTTCGTTGGCCAGATCAAGCTGGCTGATCTGGGGAGCTGTCGTGGAATCTACTCCCGACAGCCTTTTACAGCGACTTGGCACATGCAAAATACGCCAGCTGAGGCATCTAGATGAACAAAGGATCAACAAGAATAACAGGATCAACATACATAATCCTGCATCCTGCATATGCCTCCTAGGACTAAGTCACTAAGTCCATTTGTCTCTTGGTGTCTCCTGGGTCCCCTGGTCCTTTGGTCTCCTGGTCCTTGGTTTGCTGGCCTCATGGTCCATTGATCAAACTATGCGAGATTTGCAGAATTCGGCGCGAACTCTGCAAATTTGGCGCGAACTCTGCAAAAAACAGAGCTAGTTTTTCTTGCTATGGAAGATGTGCTTTGCTCTCCTCGGTTGCCTTGTCACTTTGCGGATGCCTTTCATTGATGGGCCATGCGGTGTGCTCTTTCCGATGATCCTTTTGTGGTGCCTTCTGAATTTGGTGGCTCTTGGTTCTTGGTCCTCCGCCACCCAGCGCATCTCCACACCAAATACTGCATGCCCTCATCGATATACGTCTCTTTAACACCTGTGTTGCAAACCTTCTTTTGATTGTCCTCTGGTGAATGATAAGGCCCTTTGCCATGTCCAACAGTTCTATCCTTTCGTTCTCTTTTTAATTCTTTTTGCGGTGGATTTTGTGTTGGTTTGCTCCGCAGATGGACTGCCTGATCCTTTTGTCGCCCTGCTGTTGTTCTTTCCCTAGTCCTTTTTTTCACTGCTCACTGGAGTTGCTTTTAAATGCTACTTGTTTGCTTTGTTTTTTTGACCCCCGTCGAATAACTTGTTTTGTTTTTGGTCTCTCATCCCTTCTGATCTGACAGCGGCTACCACGGTGAGGCCTTTCGCTGTGGAGATCAATTGACCTAGGACGGACTGATGAAGTGATGAACATGCAAATTGATTTCCAAAAGTATCCTAAGTTAGTTTGATGACAGTTTAGCACGAACTGGTGATGAGGTTCTTAGCATTGAGTGAATGGAGGAAATCCCTCAGGGTTCTCTTGCTGGTGTGACCTTACCCGCAGCCCGAAAGCTGCCAATCTAAGGAGTACATCTCAACCCGGTGGTACCGAGCGCCAGAGACGCTCGGTGTGGAAGTGAGTCGTGTTTTTCATTTCAGCCGATCGGCCTGTGACTGGTCACTGGTCACCGCTTTTCAGCGGTGTCACAGCGTTTCGCAATGTGTGACAAAGATGGTACAAGACGGAAGTTGAAGGTGGTGGTCCAAACACTGCGGTATAGAGGTTTGTGATACTGGTCTGGTCCCGAATCATCCCGAATCCCTCCGTCGATTATTGTATATTGTATATTATTGTCATAATTGTCATCCATGTTTGGCTTCTATAGGCGAAAAGGGCGGTGAGCAGAATGGGGCTCTGAGGTGCTTGCTGACAGATGGATACTATGGATTCAAAATGGATCTCTTCGCGGCAGGACAAGGGATCGAGAAGCCAACTCCAGGGAAGCATGCGAACGGACAGCAGTCAAAGCAGTTGTAGTAGTTGTACCTGGTTCCCCTAAAGATGCATTTCTGGCGAATTACTGTTTGGTTTTTCTTTGTCTCTTCCACCCTAGTGCTCATGCATGCTCATGCCAATCACAAGGCAGCGGACTGTCATTTGGGTTCCTGCTTTTGGGCCCATGTAGTTGTTGCTGCAGGATGCGTTTGGTTTGAGATCGTTGCCTTGTG